TAATATGATTACATTCATGCATGTTCTTCTTAGGAAATCGATTGGAATGGGAATGGCCAGCTCCTTGTTAACGATGTGTGAAGGTATTATTGATGGAAGAATATTGGTTGGTATGCCGTAATACAAGGCAAAAAGTAGAAAAGAAAAACGTTCATATGTGTAAATAATAATTGGCTCCTAAAGAATAAATAATTAATAGCCACATGTTATCTTTTTAAACCAAATCTGGAACTTTTTTTTAAAAATCTCGTAAGCAAATTTGATTCTCAATAATCTCTGCTCGTATTTTTAGCTTCATGTCTCTGAAACATTTGATTATTCTGAGAATAAATTCCCAGAACACAAAAAAGCCTTAAGCCCCGTGCACGCATTTTCAACACAACCTTGTGCTCATAATTAATTTAATTTGAACTTAATTATGTGTCCGCACAAAACTAACACACCAAAAAAAAAAAGTGCTCATAATAGATAGAGTTAAAATACAAATCTGTCCTAAAAGTTTTTAGTCAGAAGTATTGTCCACTAGAGAGTTTTTTGTATGAAAATTTGTCTTGAAAACTTAAAATCATGATGACAATATTGTCCCATACAGTTAAAAATACTAATCGTCAATATAACTATTTTAATGACCTGAGTTTTTTAACGGTAGAAAGCATCATTGCTATGATTTTAAATTTTTGAAGCAAATTTGTGGGGAAAAAAACTTTTAGAGGCGCACATAGCTCCTAACTGAAAAATTTTTGAACAAATTTGTACCATAAGGCTAATAAATAATATTGATGTATATTATGTGTGTGTGTGTGTCTATGGTTTAACTGAACCTTTGAGTGCAGTTCAAAGGAATCACAAAATGATATTACTAAATAACAATTAAATATAAAAGATGCAATAATCCAAAGGAGATGTTAACAAAAGTGATTTAGACTTTTTCATCTATAATTAATGCATTAGTGCGTGTGTGTAAATATGTAGTTAATTGTGGAGTACACAGGAAAACAAAAGCATGGTGCTATTATATGTTATCCAGATAGAGAGAGTGGCATGGAGGAATTGCTTGAGGGATAGGGCAACTGGAGATTTGATGAAGAATGGTGGCAGGGGACACACGTGTTATTAGTTATGGCTTTTAAAGGAGAGGAATTAACCCTATTTTAATTTATTTTAATAGGGGATGCTTTAAGTGATTGACTAACCCAATGTGAAAACAAATTAGTTTGGCAATCAAAAGAAATCAATACTCCCATATATTTAATTATTCGCATCTTTTAAAAAGAACTATAAAGGGTAAACTATAGTGTATCAAAATAAAATATACAATATAAAATTTATAAAAACATACTGCATGTTTTTGTCTCTTAATTAAATGATTTAATTTTGCTTTTTTAGCATTGTTACTCCTTATAACTTTGCTTTATTAGCATCGTTAGCCTCTGTGTAAGAACTAACAGTGCTAACAAAGCAAAATTAAAGTATGTAATTGAAAGAAAAAACACATGGGTACTAAATAAAATTTTTTTAAAAAAGTATAGGCATCTGCCAAATAATTTTATCCATGTAGAGAAAGTATATATATAATAAATTTAAAAAATTTATACTACTTATAAATTATGAATTCTATAATTAGGGGGTGGTTTGGAAGGTAGGCAGGTAGGTACAGTGTGTGAAAAGATAAGGAACTATTACTTATTTTTTAGGGCATAAAGTCATTGAACATTTAATATTAGGAGTCTATGGTCAACAAAAAATTTAGTTAGCATGGTATATATAATGCTGCATTTCTTGCCTGCTTTTACACTTTGGGTGGCAGTACTGATTCTCTTCTCTCTCTTATTTGCTTTCTTGCCTTTTGTTTTACACTCTTTCATAGCAATATTTTTTAAACAAAAAAGCACATCAAATTTTGAGGAATTCATATTATTTATCTATGCTCTTTTTTAGGTATATTGTTTATAATTTTTTAACGATAAATTCACTTTTAGGTATTTAAGGTGTTGAATGTACTCAAAAAATATTTCAAGTTGCCAAATAAATCACAAAATATTTTAGAGTATTTGATTTATTTGAAAAAATACTTCAAGTGCTAAATGAACTTTAATCCTTAAATAAATCTTGTATATATTTCACATTTTGTCAATAATTTGATTGGTATATATAAATGAAATTAATGAAAAAGTATTTAAATCCCTAGCCTCTGTCCATAATTCATATTTCATCCTATTCTCACGTTTGGTTTTAGCCAAGATTATACTAATATAATCTACTCTTATATTTAGAAGATGAGGTAGTTTATAATAAATATTATATATTACCTCCGGTCCTTATATAAAACCTTGTTTGACTTTTATTTTGGTCTTAAATATAAGACCCCAATCCATTTTGTCTCTCATATTTATACTTTTTTTTAAAAAATAGCTATTCTAACAATAATAGTTCTAATCAATACACTTGATTAGCAAGGATATTTTAAGAAAGACAAAACCTATTTAGGATAAATAACTAATTCAACTTGCTTCCTTAATCTCTTCAAATTAGTCAACTGACTCTTATAATTAGGACCGGAGGTAGTATATCATTTTATGTACCATAACAAATAAAATCTCTTATTAAGAAGAATACTAAAAATGTCCTTAACTGTCATTGTGACCAAATCTCCACTAATTTCCGCTAAAAGGGTTCTCTTGCTATTAAGGTAAATTATTCCCCACTTTCTTTTTCACAGATATATATGTTCAAGTTGTATTTTTTTTAAAAAAGATCACACCTTTCCTAGATTTCAAAGATACTTATAATCAATGCAGAGAGTGAAATTGAGATTAATTTTTTAACAATTATATTATTTATATTCTTTTAGCAAGGGACATTAATATATTTAAATAATGCCATTGTCTATGCACAGCCGGTTGTGCAAGGAAATAAAATAATGTGTCCTCGGTAGAAATTTTCTTTACTTTTTTTTTCATATATTCTAAATTCTAATAATATTAATTATAAAAAATGGGAAATATTACAATAAGGTTTCGGTAAAAAAAATATAAAAAAAGTCCTAATAAGTTGTCATTTCCTATTCTAGAACTTGTCATTATACGCTGTTTAGGTTGTTATTAAGACTTTTAGTAATTATATTTTTTTTTGAGATTTGATTATAATTCTCCTTAAAAAAAATACTCCTATTTAGAGAAGCAGCGAGAAAATGAGAAAATGGAAACATAGAGTAATTAATACAACTATACTAATTAATAATTGATTTAGATAAAAATAAAAATAATATTAAAAATTTTATACATGTTATTAGTGTTTCTCATAAATAGGAACATGTCATTTCAAAAAAATTTCTTATATATAAGGCTAGAAGGAATATAAAAATTAAGATACTTGTTAGAAAACTATTAATAAATACCACTACTATAATAAATTATAACTAGTTATACTATATATGTGTTTGTGTCTGTTATCATAAACAAGTTTATTCTCATCCGTTTCATCAATCAGAACTGTGAAAGTTAATAGCAATTTCTTGAAATAGCCCTTATTGTTAATTCTTTTTTCTTTTCCGCCAGACTTATTGTTAATAGCTAATTCAAACAGTGACAAAAATTAAATAATATAGTAAAGTGCAGTTAAGTAAAAAGACCAAAACTAAAATTTTTTAAAAGTACAGGATTTAAATCATTTAACAACACTAATGCTTTTTGCTTTTTAGTACTTGTAATTTTAACAAATTTTAGTTTTAGATTTATACTTAATGTTATTAATTTAGATCAAAATTTTATAAAATTACAAGATAAATATGAAATTATAAGGATTAAAATTCAATTAAATTAAATGGTAAGTGCAAACAGTGATACTAATCCAAACAAGAATAAACAAATTTTGTCAGGGAGAGGGAAAAAAGGAAAGAAACAGGTTTGTGAGAGAGAACTAATCATGAGATAGAGAGAAGATCGTCCAGAAGCAATTGCGAGAGGGAAAAGCGGTCTGTCGCGCCAAAAAGATAAAACGGTCTGTTCTCGTGTGCATGTACACACAGATATATACTATTCCGTTTTTTATTATAAGATTTTTTTAGTTAAATTATCCAGTTTTAAAAAATAGTTAAAATTAGTTAAAAGTAATTAATATGTAATAAATACAGTTTTTTAAATATATCCCTGTATATAAATATATAAACATGAAAGAGTAATAGTAAGATAAATAAAAAAAATGTATTAAATACATTAAATTAAGAGTAAAATAGGTAATACTGTATTAAATATTTAGACAAATTCAAAGAGGATCTTATAAAAAAAGATAAATCCATTCAAAAAATTGGATCTTATAATAAAAGAGAGAGGGAGTGTGTGTGTGTGTGTGTGTGTGTATATAAGATCATTTTAACTAAACTGTATGGTTTAAGAAAACAGTTAAAATTAATTAAAAGCAATTAACATGTAGTAAATGCGATTTTTTTCAAATAAATGTATAAATGTGAGAGAGTAATAATAAGATAAATGAAAAATATATATATTAAATGTATTAAATTAGGGATATAATATGTAATACTCCTTCGGTCCTAATTATAAGACCCAATTGACTTATTTGAGGAGATTAAGGAAGTAAGTTAAGTTGGTTATTTATAATAAATAAGTGTTGTCATTCCTAAAATATCCTTGCTAATTAAGTATATTGGCTAAAACTATCATTATTAGAAGGATTATCTTGGAAAAAAATGTATAAATATAAGAGACAAAATGGATTGGGTCTTATAATTATGACCAAATAAAAAGTCAAATTGGATCTTATAATAAGGATCGGAGGAGTAGTGTATTAAATACTCACAAAATTTCAAAAACGATTTTATAAAAAAAACAGAACTATTTAAAAAATTAGATTTTATAACGAGAGAGAGAGAGAGAGGGTGTGTATATTTATGCATATGCATACGTGAGGGAGAGAGATTAAAGTCAACATCCTATGGGCGCAGGAGTCTAGACCATTCTGCCTCAAGCTTCTTGGCTTAGCTTGCCTTCACACTATAAATGCCCCCACCACTCGTCTTCCTCTTTCCTCCTAACCATCATACCCGAGATCCAAGCTCAAGCAGCAGAGCCATGGTAAGTTTCGTCTTCCCTTCCCTTTCTCCTAGATGCCTCTTTATTACTTTCTCTTCTCACAAATCAACCTTCTTATGTCGCTTATTTGTTCTGATGCAAAAATTTCCCCCCTAATTATGCAGGAATTAGAGCATCGCCAGTCAGCCACATGGGAAGGCTATGTAAATTGGAGGAACAAGCCTGCTCTCAGAGGTCGACATGGCGGCATGCTCGCTGCCTCCTTCGTTCTTGGTCTGTCCCGAATTTCATTACTAATTGTTAGTTTGTTGTTTTGTATTCCCCTGTTTCTCGAGGTCGATGAAATTGTATGTCTATAGTTTCTGAAGCGAACAAGTTCATCGATCGATTGGGGTTTGGCTTGCCTTCCAAGTGTTTGAGAAGAATTTGAAATCTCATATTATCTCCTACTGATTCCGTGCGTGTTTGCTCATGTGTGTGTTATGGTGAATCCATGTTTGTGCAGTGGTGGAGATATTGGAGAATCTGGCATATTTGGCCAATGCGAGCAATTTGGTGCTATATCTGAAGCAGCACATGCACTTATCTCCTTCGAAATCGGCCAACAGTGTCACCAATTACATGGGAACCGCCTTCCTCCTCGCCCTCCTCGGTGGTTTCTTGTCCGATGCCTTTTTCACCACTTATCACATCTACCTGATAAGCGCAGTAATTGAATTCCTGGTAAGCAGCCCACACCTTAATTCATCCTCACCTCCTTTCTTATCTTATCTTTATCTCGCCATGTGACTTCCTCTTTCCTCTTAATTTCCTCTCAATCTGCTTAGTTCTTGCTTATGACCGATTGTTCCTTCTGGCCTGCTTTTCCACTTATATTGTTAGCTAGTTAGTTTGGAATTAACAGCGATGTTAGGGGACGAAAGAGAGGGAAATAGAAGGATTTGGGAGTTTTTGAATTTCTCAGGAAAAAAAATTGGAAGGATGTGGTGAAATTTGGGAGGAATCAAAACTGTTTGGTTTTGGAATAACCTACCTTGAAGAGCACGTCGTTTCATTGCTTGCAAGAGCATGATGTGTGAAACGAGAATCAGAGTGAGTTGCGAGTTGCAACTTGCAGGTTGAGGGGTTAATTGCATCGAATGCTGCAATCAGATCCCTATCAGTAGAGAATTTGTGAAATGTGAATAAAATAATTAAAACCAAACCAGTCTTATCCACCTTTGATGATTCCCCCTTTCTCTTTCTTGTGCGTTGTGCGGCGTTCGCTTCCCTCAACTTGGGTCTTCGAAAGAAGAAAAAGTTCATGAATTGCATGAATGCCTCCAATAAAATCGATACCAGGCGGCCAGGACCAGTTCCAACTTCCAAAAGTGGAGAATCCATTTTTTAGGCAATTTTCTCAACTAAAGGGGTAAGGCTTATTTCTTTACCAATAGAAAAGCATATATATAATATTATTATCTCTCTCTCTCTCTCTCTCTCTCTCTCTCTGCATTGACCAAAAATACAATCGCCTTTATATTGGGCGGACATAATACGAAAGATTTTGGAATGATAGGTCATATTACGACTGATTAATTTCAATTTTAGGAAAGAATGAGCTTGATATTTGGATTTTAACGTTTATTTTTTTTAAACTTTTACCTCTATCATCTAATATCTCAGGACTTTAATCTCTCGTACTGACCAAAAAATATAAACAAATAAATATGTCAAAAATAAATAACTTAGTCATATGCCCTAATTATTATATGATAGGCTTGATCTAACTTATTTTATGGCCAAATCTTTCTCAAAATTCTCTCAAACGATGATTATGGCTATAGAGGGCCAAGAGTTTGAGGGAGAAAAGTGTGATCCTATTTGAGCTTACACACACGCGCTCTCTATTTTTATATATCTTGTGGCCAGCATCTAACAAAATCATTTTTAATGGGTAGTCCACATAATATGGTTGTTAGGCTCTGACGACTTTAATCTTTGCGGGGTTTTTTTTTGCAATAAATAAATCGTGTCACAGCCAAAAATACAAAGGGTCAGACAGTAGCAATTATTGTGTGGGAAAACATTTATTTTATAGTAATAAAATAAAAAGAAATGAATTAGGGGTGGGGCATATGGTGGCCCACCGATTATATTCATGCATCGTATTTAATTTTCCCGAGTGCCTAGGCCCTCCTTTGATTTCGTGCCAGGACGAATGGAAACTTCGTTCTCTGTCTATTTTACCTGGAAACTTGAAAGCAACATTAAATTTTGTCGCTTTCTCTTTCGCAAATTTTGTCGCAGGTTGTACGTGATCTCCAGGTGTATATATAAAATTGTGGATATATAAAATCTAATATGAAAGTTGACTGGGAAATCGAAGAGCATCCCTTTATGCTAAAAATAAAATTCTATAACATTTAAATTTAGAAAATATTGTAATTAATTAACCTTGGGTCTTAAGAGTTAAAGGATAGATGACACGTGCAGCGGAGGAGCCTCGTGTGGGTCCTGTGGGCTGTGTGTTTGTTTAGGTGTCCTGATCAGCTGCAGCCAGGCTTATATAGCAGCTGAAAGCTCGTGGCTTTATGAAATTCTGAATTTTCTCTGGAAGGTTAAAGAGGGCCATATCTGGCAAACTAGCACGTACTTTCGGCATACATAAGTAGTTTGATGAACCACGTGTGTGGTTGTCGTTTTGATGGACCATATAGTATGTAGTATTAAATCTGGTGAACTGTCACCTCTCCGTTTCCACACACACCTACTTAATGAAACGCCATTATCTCAGTTTCATAACTACTTAACTATCAGTGCCAGTCTGCCCCACAGTCCATGAACTGTCGTAAGGGATCACCGCATGACTAGGCCCACGGTGTGTTTGGTATCTTTCCAATTTGTGTTCAACATTCTATTGGTATCTCTGGTGGTATCCACAGAACATGCCCCTTAGTGGTGGTCACATTTTAAGAACGGTAATCACAGAGTTAGGTTTCTGATCGTGTTTTGTCCAAAACCGTCTGATTGCGAAATTTGTGATCTTCATTAGTCTTATTTAGGATCTTCCATTTTTCTGGGTAAAACCAGAGGAAAGTAGGAGGGAGATAAGGACGGGATTTATGCAATATATGAAGTGTCAAGATGCCTTGCCTTTTTTTTTTTTTTGGGTCATTTTTATGTATTGACATTTCATTTGCAATTTACATGATATTTTAAGTTTTAGTTTTGTTCAGATTTGCTCATGTTTGGTACAAAGGGGTATGGCGCCATGAACTGGGGCCAGTTTAGTCTCCGATGTAAAGACTTTTACAGCCCCTGATTCGGAGTAATATGGGATCACGTGGGCCGGGACCTGTAATTTTCTTTTTAGAAAAATATTACTGCATGCCACAATTCAAGTGGTTCCAAAGAAAACGGTTAGCTTAAGTTGTTCAAAACTTTCATGATAAAGAAAGCATACAGGAGAGGAAAGAAAACAAACGATTTGAACTTTGAGAGGGCAATTGGAAAACGTCTTTAGATTAAGCTTTTCCCGTTTGTCCAACATTATTTGAGTTTCGGTGTGGAAGTATTCGAATCCCTTCAACCTTGTGAATGAAATGTTACCATATGCTTGCTAAGTTTCATGAGTGGAAATGGCTAAGGGACTTGAAACGTTGCGCAGGGCCTGATAATACTCACTATACAAGCTCGCGTACCTTCGTTAAAGCCACTGGAATGTGACGCAACGACCCCATGCGAAGAAGTTGCTGGTGGAAAAGCAGCGATGCTTTTTGCAGGCCTCTATTTGGTGGCTCTGGGGGTTGGAGGAATCAAGGGTTCACTGGCAGCACATGGTGCTGAGCAGTTTGATGGGACTACCCCTTCTGGAAGGAAGCAGAGATCAACCTTCTTCAACTACTTCGTTTTCTGCCTATCATGTGGCGCCCTCATTGCTGTCACTTTCGTTGTATGGATTGAAGACAATAAAGGGTGGGAATGGGGTTTTGCAATCTCTACTATTAGCATTCTTGTGTCCATCCCCGTCTTCTTGTCTGGCTCTGCTACTTACAAAAACAAGATCCCTACCGGAAGTCCACTCACAACCATTTTCAAGGTAACTGAAACACATAATATTTAGATGATATATATTCCTTACATCTTGTCGTTCTAAACAATTCATACCCATGTTTTTTTCCCTTCGAAGATAACTTTCCCGTCCCTCAAGTTTAGCTCCACATCACTCTCTGAGTAATGGGTTCCTGTTTCCGAGCAGGTTCTGATTGCTGCTTCAATTAATACCTGCTTCAATAGAAATTCTAGCAGTGCTGTTGTGAATATGGTCTCAAGCCCTTCTAATCTTAAGTCAATTAGAAAAGAAGCAGAGGAAGAAGCAGCAAAAACAAGCAAGTCAGCTGAAACGCCAACAGATACGCTCAAATTCCTCAATAACGCTGTTGCAAACAAGCCAGTCCACTCATCACTAGGATGCACCGTGCAGCAAGTGGAAGATGTCAAAATAGTACTGAAAGTACTGCCCGTATTTGCTTGCACCATCATGCTTAATTGCTGCCTTGCACAACTGTCCACATTTTCTGTTGAACAAGCTGCCACCATGGACACCAAGCTCGGTTCCCTCATGGTGCCACCAGCATCATTACCAGTTTTCCCAGTAATCTTCATCATGATCCTAGCACCAATCTATGACCACATCATCATCCCCTTTGCTCGGAAAGTAACCAAAACAGAGACAGGCGTCACTCATCTCCAGAGAATTGGGATTGGATTAGTCCTCTCTATAGTTGCCATGGCAGTAGCAGCTCTGGTTGAGATAAGGAGAAAAAGAGTGGCCACACACACAGGGCTATTAGATTCCACCAAACCACTGCCCCTCTCATTCTTTTGGATTGCATTTCAGTACTTATTCCTAGGATCAGCTGATCTGTTCACCTTGGCAGGTTTGTTGGAGTTCTTCTTCACAGAAGCCCCAGTAAGGATGAGATCTTTGGCCACATCTCTTTCCTGGGCCTCATTGGCTCTGGGATACTACCTCAGTACGGTGATTGTATCAATAGTAAATAATGTCACTGGTAACTCAACCCACAGACCCTGGTTATCGGGTAGCAACCTTAATCACCATCATCTGGAGAGGTTCTATTGGCTCATGTGTGCTCTAAGTGGTCTGAATTTCCTGCATTACCTCTTCTGGGCTATTCGGTACAAGTATAGAGGAGCAGGAAATAGTGGATGAAGCAAAGAGGGGGGAAATTTGCCAAATGGTCCATGAGTACAAGTTTACGAGACCATTGGTCAATAGCATGCCAAGGTTGGAACTTGGGTGTACCTTTTGGCCCAAAAGAAAAAAGGGCTGGATAGTGGATAGATATACCCGTGACTGGATGGACAGATGGATCTGCACGTCCTTCCCATGGAAGTGGGGATATATCTTTCTAGTATTTATTAAACAAAACAAAACCAAACGGGAGAGGAGAAAATTACTCACTTGTAACCAGCTTAGGCTTTTTGTCCTTTTCAATTAATATATGCATAGTTGCCAATGGCTCTTGCCCACGCTCATCGATCTTCTTCTTTACAAAAAAACTATTTTATTTTTTAATATACATATTAAAATAACAGAGTAAGTTTTATTTTCATAAATTTTGATGCAGAAGCTAATATATTTGATACTATTGAATCAGATTCAAGTATTATCAGATCCAAACAAGACAACTCTATTAAAGATATCCTTTGTAATCAGATGGACCCGAAATTAAAATCTCATGTCTAATATTTATAACATTTTCCACTATTAACGTCAATTGATATTTTCACAATTAAAAAAAATTCTAAGTTCAAAAAGTATTTCAAATTATTCTAAGGGATGAGCATCATGAAGTTGAATGTGAATGCGAGTCAATTGTTTATATATATATATATATATATGTCTGAATTACATATATAAAGTGAATGCATGTATTTACAAAGTATTCTGCAAATTTTTTTTTTTTTTAAAAGGTGAAGTTGAGCTGTACAATGGGAAAGTATTCTTCATTTTTTATTGTTTCCTGGGAAAGTTATTAGCTAGACTTTACCCCCGGAGATGGCTAGCGTTTCTGAAACAAACAGTAAGACGGGCGCCATAGGATTGATATTTTGGAATGGAATAGTTAGGTCTAATTTTAGCCAATTAAATTTCATAATTTGGGGCACCAAACACAGAAAAAAAGGGTTCAAGAATTCAATAAAATGGATGTGGTCCCTGAAATCCACATTCATCGTATGTTCCTTGCAAATGCTATAAGAGCGTAAGTAGGCAAATAGATGCAATTAATACGCCTTCAAAGAAAGTAATCCATCCTAATATGATATTTAATGTTGATTTAAATATAAAAAATTGCCAATATATATGTAAATAATAATTTGGATGATATAAATAAATTCAAACATCCGTTCTATTGAAAGGGATTTTGACCGTTTAAATATGAGATCTGGAGTTTAATTAAGTCCGTGTGAATACAGAAAATACCTTTATAAATAAAACTGTTCAGGACATAGGATGGGACTAGACAGCCCTGGCTTGCGTCCTGTGTCTTGTCTGATCCTTGTCTCATTCTAGTCCCGAAAGACCAAGACAGGCGAAGAATGAAAGAGTGGCGGATTGTGACTTGTGGAGAAGCTGAGAATGAGTGCGTTAGATTGAGTGACGACGAGTGAGCAAGAGCAGAGAGGCTAGCCAGCCTAAGCGTGTGAGAGAGAGGAGATTGAGAGTGTGCGAGCTAAGGGCATCCTAAAATGGAACGGGATGTCTCCGGGGCTATCTTGTGTCTCTTTCTGATACCCATTTGGTTGTGTTCTAGTTTGGTCCCGTCTCATAATTTCTGGGGCCTAGCTTGTTCCATTCTGAAGTGACTAAAAATGGGGTTGATGAGATGATGGAGAAGGGTCCATATTGAAATTGAACAGCCCCACTTTTGAATCCGGTGCGGCTCAAATGGCTGGCACAGGGATCGATGCTCTGCATCTCCGTTTACGTATGATTAATTCTCTTCTTTCAACCCTACTTCTGTGTCTGCTGCTTCTTGTTCAGCACCGCCAATATTGCCACTACAATTTCACTGCTACCTGTTAATTGCATGCCCACTGATATGAAAACTTGACCTCACGACATTACATTTCGATCGGCCCCCACTCATCTGCCTCCCTAGCTCCTACCTTCCTTCATTAATTCCCATTTTCCCTTCTTTATTATTTACCCTCTACTCAATCACGCTCAGTTTTGTACCATCCCCATTATTTATTATCTTCTTCCTCGCATTTATTCACACTCATTCGCTCAATAATTCAAATTAATCCCCCTTCTTTTGCCCAAATTTATCTTATATCAGTCAAACCAAAGACTATACCAAGGATGACTGCCGCATTTCGTTCTCTTCCTTTTTCTGTCTTACTTTGTCCAACCGCATGCGTGGACACTAGACAGATTTCCCAAATCAAAACAATCTCACATAGCTCAGAAATTAGAAACTTCCAGCTAGAAAAGTGGGAATTTTCACATATCAGTGTGCTGACATCTGACCATTAGAAGTCCGGTACCCGAATATCTTTCCTGAATCTTCAACCCATCATAAACTTGTTCCAAAGTCTTCAATTTGATTTCTTTCTTTATATACTCATTTCGCCAAATTAAGGATACGAATCTCATCAATGCTCTTCCGGGCTTCTCCCATATATGCGCAAAAACTTGTATGAAGCGTCAAGAACCCAAGTCTGAGCACCCTCTCAGACTCTCACGAAGAAGCAGAAGAAGAAGCCATGGGCTTCAAGAAAGCTTCTTTACAGATCTTCTTCTCCTCCTTCTACATTATATCCCACGCCTTCCTAGTCCCTCCGGCGACGTCGTCATCTCCCACCGCCGCCACCAATGACAGCAGTGAAGGCGGCGGCCACTGGGTTCTCCTGCACCGAAGCATAGGCATTTCGGCCATGCACATGCAAGTGATGAGGAACAATAAGGTCATCATCTTCGACCGCACCAACTTCGGCCCCTCTAATATCTCTCTACCCAATGGCCATTGCCGCTTCAACCCTCGCGACATGGCTCTGAAGGTTGACTGCACCGCACACTCCGTCCTCTACGACATTGCTTCCAACTCCCTCCGCCCCCTCACCGTCCAGACTGACACCTGGTGCTCCTCCGCCGCAGTCGACCCCTCCGGCACCCTCATCCAAACAGGCGGCTTCAATGACGGCTACAACAAACTCCGCACTTTCACACCCTGCGACGACGACCGCTGCGACTGGATCGAGCTCCCTGTTCCGTTAAGCAACAATCGCTGGTACTCATCCAATCAGATTCTCCCCGACGGTCGCATTATCATCGTTGGTGGTCGTTCAGCTTTCACCTACGAGTTTGTCCCCAAGAATTCAGGAAACAACAATGGGTCTTATTACTTTAGGTTCTTGAGAGAAACGAGGGACTCCGGACCTGGAGAAGAGAATAATCTTTACCCCTTCTTGCATCTCTTGCCGGACGGGAATCTCTTCATCTTCGCCAATAAACGATCCGTTTTGTTCGACTACATCCGGAATCGGATCGTCAGAGAGTACCCTGTTCTACCCGGTGACGAGAAACGTAACTACCCCAGTACCGGGTCGTCGGTTTTACTCCCCTTAAACTTAACCGGTTTGGAAGACACGACCAGGTTGCCCGACGCAGAGGTGATGGTGTGTGGCGGTGCTTTCCCAGGTTCGTTTCCTATGGCTGCTAAGAAGAGAGTATTTGTGGAAGCGTCGAGAAGTTGCGGGAGGCTCCGGGTGACCGACCCGAATCCTAAATGGGTCATAGAGGTTATGCCCCTGCCCCGGGTCATGCCCGACATGTTGATATTACCCACCGGTGACTTGATCGTCCTCAACGGTGCCCGCAATGGGACGGCAGGGTGGGAGAATGCCGTGAACCCTGCATTAAACCCGGTTCTCTACAGGCCAAACGAACCCAACCGGGATGGTAGATTCGAGGTATTGAGCCCCACAAATACTGCACGGATGTACCACTCGTCGGCGGTGCTATTGCCGGACGGAAGAATATTAGTCGGAGGGAGTAACCCGCATAGATTGTACGACTTCAAGGCGTATCCGCACCCGACGGATTTGAGCTTGGAAGCGTATTACCCGAATTACTTGGACCCGAAATTCAGTCCGCTGCGACCAACGATTATAGCGATAGAGGCGGCGAACAATAGGGCGTCTTACAATGGGACCTTCTCGGTGACATTGTCGTTGCAAGAGTACCACAGCGCTCGGGGGATTACGGTTTCGCTGGTGGCGCCGTCGTTTACGACGCACTCGTTCGCGATGAACCAGAGGATGCTGGTGTTGGATGTGGTAGTTATGGAGCGGGTGGCCCCACATGCTTACAAGGTTACGGCGCGTGGGCCCCCCTCCCCCAACTTGGCCCCACCTGGCTACTATATGCTTTACGTTGTCCACGCTGGAATTCCTAGTGTTGCTGTCTGGCTTCAGGTCAACTGAAGTGAATTGAGTCCATGTCATCACTCATGGCTTTTGATTACATGTCTTCTTGACATATTTTTGACGCCTAAATTAAGTCAAGCTGTATTTGATTAATCGATCAATTTTATCGGAGCGTTTCTGTAATCCGCATGTTTTTTTTCTCCAGATTTTATGGAATTTAGTATTTGATGAGAAGAATATGAACATATGATTTAGGAAACTACTTTCTTCTTTACTTTTTTTCCCTAAAAAAATACGCAGGGTCCTCCTCAACAATCACGAGAGCAAAAATTATTTAATACTCCTCCGATCCTAAATATAAAACTCTTATACACACTAATATAAAGATATTATATTTAAGACCGAAAAAGCATTTAAAAAGGTCAAAGGATGTAAACTCAAAAGGGGATATAGGTTGCAGACAATTACTAGTCGAATTATGGAAATAAAGCACATATCTAAAGCCTATAATACATATTGTTATCTTTACAATTGACAATTTGACATCATGGACTTGACAAGCCAATCTTCTCCCTCTTTTTCAATTTTAATTTTCTTTCTTTTCTTCTCTCGCCATCTCAACGACCATGGTTGAGATAGATGCATGATCTCAGAAAATGGGTAACAATTTTGGAAACCATATTTGTCAAAAGGAAATTTGAATGAACAGCTAATAGTCCATCAAAGCGACTTGGAAGATCCTGCAGTCAATGATGAACTCCTCACAGCAACCCTCACTGCTCCTACCACGCTGAGCTGAATCCTCTCAGGGCTAAGGCCCTGTCTACCTTCCTTGTTCTCACAGCCTTCTTCTACTTGAACGCCCACAAAATATGCTATCTGATCACGCACAACCTAAATTTAGTGACATGGAATTGAATTCAAGTTGAAGGAGCTTTTAAGCAAGAGAGATTACAGCATACACTAGTATTTCCACAGTTCATAAACTTCTACTAATAACTTGGTTTAAGTGGCTTTTGAGAGATGGCAAATTGAGCTCGTACAGGAGTAGATCAGGAGGACTGGGGTACTTATCTAGGCAGGTAGACTTGGACGTTAATCACATGAAGTATATACAAGTAATACGGTAATAAACTACCGAACGCATCTCTTCCCAAGATGCCTCAAAGAATCCTTGAACTTACATCAGCAAGACCCCCCAGAAACATACAGAAAATAACTAGTTAATATGAAAACAAATTAAACCGATTAAAACAAATTCTATGATGGTGAGGATCCGGTGAGGAGAGAGATGAGATACTGGGTGGGAGCGGGACCCAATTCTTGCAACCCCACCTTCCTATCTCGTCTTTCTTCTCACTTATCCACTCCTTATCAGTATTACGAATCATAACCAAGGCGAATGTACGACATCAGCTACCAGCTGCTAGCCTCCCTTGCCTTTCTCCCCCTAAATCATTTGTTAGGCCAAGGAAGTACATGTCACTCACAAAGAAAAGAAGTATTTGAATAGAAACCAAACCATAGTTTTAAAAGTAATTTTATAGTACACGAAGTAAGCATTTGAAAAGAGTTTTGTCTCAACTTGCACGAAAGTGTTTTTAAAAAGTACTTTTGGGGGAAACCAAACACTCTAAGCAATACGCAAGCAACTTCAAAGTAAAAAATAATAGAGCGGATATTTTGACAAACAAAATCAACTGTTTTCACAGATCATGATTACCTACCAACAACTGACAGGTTAAAAAATTGCAAACTTGGAAATCACAATGCCATCTACATAATTCTAGCCACCTAATTGCCAAACACATTTAAAAACTATTTCATATTTGATAAAAGTTCTGTGATTCAGTATTCTCAATGCCCAATCAAACTCAAGGAAAATGGTTGGCAGACTGGACAAGAGAAACAGAGACATTTAAAATTTATAGTTCAGCATATAATTAGCTCATACGCAGCAATACCTTGCCAGAGGCATCACGAATAGGTGATATGTGTAGAAAATTCCAAAATGGGCTTTCGTCCTTCCTGTCAAAATTGCAGTAAAATGACTCATCACATTCAATGAATAAAATTCATATATTTGGAAATTGGGGGCCTAGGGGAAAGTGAAGAAGTAACCTGTAATTCAAAATATGTACTGTGCATGGTTGTTCAGCTTTAATGCTCTCCCTTATCTGTAAGCAATTAAACACGAATGAAACTACATGGTCCATAGAAAATCCATTTCCCTAATCCTAAGTTTCCATATTGCAGTACAGATGTTGCAAAATTATAGCAATAAAGTATATTACCAAATATAAAGCTGATGCATCAGTATTTGGCCCACTTAGAAATCTACAGTTGCGTCCCAGCACTTCATCTTTTACGTAACCTACATGAGCAAAAAGGTAATTAGAAACATGATAAAAACCCTAAATACATCCGAGTTGTTGTTGTTTTATATCTTTACACCGAAGCCAGTATAATTGTTTGAAGTGATCACAAGCCTATTAGTATTTAGTACTTTAGCCAAGGCAATGGTTTTACCTGTCAATTTCAAGAAGGCTTCACTGGCATACACAATAGGCATGTCAGGTAAATGAGGATTAGTTCTGCAAAACACACGATATTCAATATAAAACACAAGGAAATCAGAGATCCGTGCTTGGCATAAAACTTATGCTAAAGAAAACTAGACGTATCAAATAACTCACAATACAAAGCTTTGTTTGATTCTACCAAGGGATATAATCAATGATGAACTAAGAAAACCCACGTCAGAAATGCTGCATCTCTTTCTACATACCAATCTGCCAGTCAACTCACTGTAGTGGGTTAGCAGAGAAAAAATGTTGTCCATGGCAGTCATAGCTTTTCTCTTATCAACATCACTTGCCTCACACGGTTCTTCACCATTTGATTCTGCATGTTATAAAGCATGAGGATCAGTAGAGAACACCCAACTATTACAATAATAATTCAACAAGAAAGGGCTGTTTGGACCAAAGGGATAGACCGCTAGAATAACCAAGAAAGAGGAAAAATATGATCGCACTAAACACGCCCAAAATAGAAAATACAGAAGATGTTGAACTGAAGTATTAACAAGGAACAGAAGCACAAATTGAAGCACGAGGCATTTAATAACTTCCAAACGCCAAAATGTGAAACAAACCTCTCCCTTCATGTTCTACTTCTGAAACTTGATGAAGGGACAAGACACGACCGAGTTCCAACAAAGAATCCGAGCACACTTCCTTCCGACATGATCCATGCACAAAATCCTGAGCCACAGACCCATCATCACTCAAATTAACGTCAGTTTTCCTAACACCGCATCCCGACCGCCTCCGTTTCCTCGATAGAGGTACCTGAACTGCCACAAAGTGACTCACCCTACCATCATACTTGTTAAATACGGGGCTCATGTGAAACAAAATCCAAAGAGGTTTGCCATCTCTACGGTAATTCAACAAATTGATCTGAATGGGTCTCTCTTCTCTTATCGCCTCACGAATTTCTATTACCGATCTTCTACAGGTCCCTGGTCCTTGAAAAATCTTACCATTCTTGCCAATCACCTCTTCTTTGGGATATCCTGACATTTTCAAGAACCCATGGCTCGCAAAAACAATCGGGTGGCCAGCGATAGAGGGGTCGGTGATGATAAAATTGTCAGGCAATTCGTCGAGCGCCTCGCGAACATGGCAGGAGTAACGACTGTCGAATGATTGGTCTATCAGACCCAACTGTGAGTCCATCCTCTTTGCTACCTACCTGTTCTACAGATTCGTCGCTTCGCCTCGTTGTTTGGGATATTGCCAATCCCATGTGGCACGTTGATCTCTTCTTGCTTCTTCAAATAAATTCGAACTCTTGCTCACAGTTTCCGCAGGACCAAGAAGAACACTGGGGGAGAAGGACCCTGGAATGCGAAGAAAATACGAAGCAAGGTGAAGACAAACCGGAAGAGTCCACGAACTCTAAACAATGACACCACGTACCGTGTTGAGTCGCAGATTTATAAATGGCGTCCTTGAGAAGTATTAGGTACTACGAGAAAGAAGAGCATCACTCATGGGGGTACAATGAACAGCAAGCAAACCTCAGGCTTTCCCAAACTTCAAATAGGAATCGAAACCGAAAATATCCTCCGAAAATTGTGGCAACCAAGGGATTACGAAGCAAAGATGGATACTCACGAATCGTAATTTTCCAGGAGCCAGAATAATATGAAAGCGAAAAAGAAAAAGAAATAATGGAGATATTGGACAGCACTGGGAATCGAAGAACTTAAAAGGGACGAAATTCGCGATCAATAAAAAAGTGCCATTTTCACTGTTGTTATTTTACCGCAATCCTTTTGTCCTCGTAAGTTTCGGATTTTGGACTTTGAGCACAGACGATAAAAGTAAGGAGAAGGCTTTGTAGGTTTTGAAGCAATCAAGTATGCTCAATAATGGAGTGGGGAAATGAACTTCCAGCCACAACCACATATTCTTCTGATTGATATTTGGTGATAGCTGCCTTGGTGGGACTGCATGGAGCAGCCTGGGGATGCAAGAAAACTGTTGCAGCCAGTTTGCATTAAATACAATCAATCATATTTATGTAATATAATTCTGTCAAAATCAAAATTTTAAATAATTTATTAACATAAAAATTCTTTCCTAATTTTATTTTTGAAGTTTATTGAATATTTTGATTTCATTTAAGGAGAGTGACAGAAAAAAAAAGTTGAAAATTAAAAATCCCAAATCAGGTTTGAAAATACAACTTTATTTAATATTAACAACAAATTTTTATTGACGTTCTATATTTGGCATTTATAAAATTTCAACGTTTTTTTTGTTATTTTCCCTTTTATTTATGCCGCATTTATCATCTTCATCTATTAAAAAAAATGAAATTAGAGTATTCGATAGAAAATAAAAAGAGGGCGTTTGACATTTGTCCTTTATTTTGTTCCTTTTTTTATTATAAAACTCCATACAAATTGTATTTTTCAAGTGCTTTTAATTACCGATAAGATTTATTTATTTTTTCAATTTATTAAATCTTTCTTTAACTTTATCTCTTGAAATAGTTAATGGAGACAAGGTATTATTTTTATTTTATTAAAATAATCGCATTCGAAAGCCGCAAACCTGTGGGTCTGTCACTTCACAACCCACTTGGATATTGACATGAAAATGAAGTCGGAATTATTCCCCAAACAAAATTTATGTTAATCTTGAAATAGCCGAAAAATTTTAATCATCCACAAAACAGGCAGTAACCCGATCTGCAATTGTAGTAACCAGTAAACAAGCCAATGATATTATCTTGAATTTAAAAATAGTAATATATCATTTTTTTCTACCAACCAATATTACGATGTAACAAATTTGTCCCCCCCCCCCCAGCCCACCCCACGCCACCCCAAAAACCAGAGTACCAAATTTGCCACATTAGTTAAGAGGGTCAGTCTTGAATAGTTCGTACCTTGCTATTTTATTCAAAGGGACAAAAGGCGAACAAGAAACTCACCAATCAGCGAGGCAAGATGCCACCAAGTCCAACTCAGCTCTTATCCAAATCCTCGTCATCCTTTCCTCCTCCGGACAACCGTGCCTTTTGGAGTCTTCTCCCTCTAGAGGACTGAGTAAAACTGGTAGTCTCGTGATCTGACGTGGCATTGTGATCACGGGCACTTTTTTTGTTTTAAAAAAAAATTAGACCTCATTCCTAATTATAAGAGCAAGTTGACTAATTTGAAGATATTAAGAAAAGAAGTTAAGTTGGTTATTTGCAATAAATATGTATTGTTTTTCCTAAAATATAATTGCTAATCAAGTATATTGGTTAGAGCTATCATTGTTATAAAGATTATCTTGGAAAAAAATACGTAAATATGAGAGACAATGTGGATTGGGGTCTTATATTTATGACCAGAATAAAAGTCAAATAATGTCTTATATTAAGGATCAGAAATAATAGATAATAACGCGCACCTGCAATGCAAATAAGTAAGGTGTATAAATATATGCAGATAAGTAAAACATTTCATTACTGCAATGTAACTCAAGTCAGGTTGTTTTTTTTTCAATTATTTGATGTTGATAGAAAAAAATTATCCATGCAACATTTTTTAGAAATAAAATAAAGCGGATAATTGATAATAGTCAGAGAATAATTTAATTTATTATATGATGTTAACTCTTTTTACACATGATTGGTGTTAATTTGACACGACGATGTTTGTGATTTTTTTTCATACAAACATAGAAAGTAAGGCTATTTACTGATGCTAAAAACCTTGGCACAGGGAGACCTTCATTAACTAACAAGTCACAATCATCCTCTGGACTAGCCGTGGGATTCTTCAAATAGTAATTTTTTTTAATGGTAACTTATGAAATACTGCTCCGATCCTTAATATAAGACCCATTTAACTAATTTGATTAGATTAAGGAAGTTAGGTAAGTTAGTTAATTATGAGAAATGTGATGCGTTTTTCCTAAAACACCATAATCATCTTTCTTAATACCCCGTCTCCCTCTTCTACTTGGTTATAGTTGAGGGAGTATCCATATGGGTAGTTTAGAGAAAATTGATAAATATGAGAAATGGGTCTTATATTTAGGACCAAAACCAACTCAATAATTGGGTCCTATATTAAGGAGCGGAGGAGTATTATTTTTAATCTTTAATATAAAATCTAGTTGACTGATTTAAAAAGATTAAAAGAATTTGTTGAATTAGTTGCTTGTAATAAATATGTGTTATCTTTTTTAAAATATCCTTGCTAATCATGTATATTAACTTGAACTGCCATTTGATAAAATATTTAACATGTATAATCACTACAAAGACTAGATTGAGAAAAATGAATAAACATAAAAAATAAAATAAATTGGGATCTTTTATTTATTACCAGATTAAAAATCAAACTACTTTTAAGGTGTGTGCATATGTGTGTGTGTGTGTGTGTAAAATTTGTTTCAAATTGTATGAATAACTGTTTTTGGATGTCCAGTTATAAAACCAAACAAGCACCTAGACCACGTTGGGGCGTTTTTGATTGATTGCCGAGGCCTTTCATTTCATGGTTGCTTGCTTCAATAACCAGACAAGGTGAGCTTCCTTGCGTGTCTCCACGTATGTTTGTCTCATTGTTTCCTTGGCAATAGTGCTTCCATGCATGTCTGTTTCAAACTTATTGAAGCTTATTCAATTTTGATTTTGATTAACTGAATTTTTTGAAATTTTTGTCGATGAACTCCAAAAACGTTGTTTTTTGGCCCAATAAATTAGTGTAACTTCATATCTTTTTAACACGCCACTCGAAACAATCGTGTTTCATCAATATTAAATATTAAATACAGATATCTTTTTTAAAGTCTTAGTAAGAATTTGAACCTTAATTTTTCATGCTGTAAATAATTAGTCTATTTCGTTAGACTCAACCTTAAAGTCATTTTTTTTACTATGCTCTTATTAAAAATAATCCTACTCAAGAATTCAAATATGAATTCACCGTGTTATTATACTTTCTGTTACTAGACTCATGTTTGGTAGCGGGGGGAATTGCCCGAGGGAAATGGGAATCTGCACGGCGGGCTTTCTCCATCCATCATTGTCCCCCAACGTCAAGTGAAGAGGTGGATTGAGCATGGCCCATTTCAACCTAGTTGGCCCATATGCCTTTTGAACCTCATAATTTTAAATATTCGGGATCCCTTAACATAATTTACATATTATATTATTATATTTTTAAAAAAAATATTAATAAACTGTAAGGATTTTTCACTGAAAAAAATTAAAATAATTTTAAAATTTTATGGTTATTATTATATTATTATATTTTATGAAATTCATGTCATATGCTTTATTTATTTTCATGTTGTAATTGTTGTGTAATTTATTTATATACTCACCCAATCCTAAATATTAAGACTTATTTTGTACTGTAAATTATACTATAAAAAGGTCTCATATTTAGAATTGAAGGAGTATTATAATTTCTGTTTTGCATATTAATTAGATGTCTTGTAATTTTATATTTAAGATTTTAGGGGGAAAATTAGCAGGCTTATGGCTGGCAGGTGAGTCTGAAATATTGGATTTTTTAGAATGAGACGTGATGTTTTTAATATTTTGACGGTCATCTTGACAGGCAAATTGACATGTGAAAATTGACAGGAGAAAATGTTTAATCTAGCTTATTCTATGCGATTTTAATTTATACAAAATAAATATGTGAAAATAACTCTATTTTATAAAAATAAAAATAATTTTTTTAAAGTGAATCTAACCACCTCATATCATTTGGAAAAAACTTCAATTGGATGGTCAGTGTTTTCAAAATTAAATGTTTTTGCATTACATTTGAAAACTTTTTTTTTTGTCTGACCGAATATTATTTGAAGACTAATTAGCCGTAATTTTTCAATCTTTTCAACGATATCTTAAATTATCGTGCAATGTGTCGTATTTTTTAAGAATTTAAATTTGGACATTAGACTTTTGGTCTTATAATTTACATGTTAAGCATATTAAACAGGTCAAGCTTCTTCGACATTGTATCTCGTTTACGCAAACATGCTCATGTCTACGGGAAATTGGCCCATTCTCTAGCTCTATGTGCAAGAAGCATTACTTAGGAAAAAAAAAATTTCTATTATAAAAATAAAAAATATAAGCAAGATTTAAAATGAAAGAGATGAATAAAATAAGAAAGAAATTGAGAGAAAGAGAAGTGTATTCTTATTTATTTGGATGATCAAAATGTACATTACATAGCTTTTTATTTAGAGGCTCTCAAACTCAATTAAGGGTTACATAAAATAAATAATACTATTAATTCACATAAGCATACCATATGCAACGAGTTATAGAATAAAAATTTCTAAAAATTATTCAATTCAGAGGTTATAGAATATAGAATATAAAAAGCTAATGCCCCGTTTGGTAGCAAGGAACTGGAGGCTGAGAATTGGAAGTGGAAATGGAACTGATATTTTTACTTGTTTGTTAGCATGGAAGCCGGTTCCTCATGGAACTCACTTCCATCAAAATCGATGGAAGTGAGTTCCTTGCCTCCCCCCATGGAACTGAGTTCCACCTCCAGTTCCATGGGTCCATTTCCTCCCTTGCCCTTCTACCCTTTCTCCTTCCCTCCACTAACAACGATGATGATTCTTCATAGTGACGAGGTGACAATCTTCCATAGACAGGGCAGCGGCGACGCCCTTACATCCACGACGGCAACCCAAGCCCTTGATGGATGTGTTTGCTCCTCTCTCCCTACGTCCATCGATGAACAGGGCTTTCATAGATTTTCATGGATGAGGATG